TTTTTTTTTTTATTTAATTGAGGTCTTTTTTTTGCTTCATGTTGATTTTTTTTTTCTGTGAGTTTTCGGCGATACTCAAGACTTGTAAGAATCGTGGTTTTCCCTTGACAACGTTTTCTGGGAGGAAAATCTCTAGATTTTGATGGTAATAGCTTAAGTAAAAAAAAATTTTTTTTTCGATTTTTTGCAAAATGTCGACTGATTCGTTCGAAATAGATGGAAAATAAATGAATTTGATGGTTAAAAGCCACAAAATAAAAAAATTTGCTTAAGGGAGCCGTCGTGCCCCAGGTTCCCCTAGTAACAAGCGTCGCTTCATATAATAAACTAGAAAAATTGCAGTTCAAAATAACATTTTTGTAAATTCAAACTTTGAATGTTAATTTTCAGAGCTTTCAATGTAATTCTTACAAAATCAGTAATAATTACAATCTGAAACTGTAATTTTTTTATTTTTTCGTATACAGCGCCACGTTACATTATATAATGTAATTTTTCCCTTTTTCTTTTTTCCGTGCACAGAAAAAAAAATGTTTTTGAATCAAGTATATAATTTTGAAGAACTTAATATTCTTGCTTTGAGTAGAAAAATTCTTGATTTAAGGAAATTTGATTAAAGAATTTTTCGTCTTGATTCAAGACAATTACCCTCTTCAAAATTATATTCTTGGTTCAATAATTTTTCTCTTGAATAAAGTTAATTTTTTTTTCAGTGTGTTGGTTCAAGAATTTTTCCCTCGATTCAAGTTAATTTTTTTTTGTGTATATCAATATACCAATACTGACCACTGAGTCCAGTCAATGATACTTAGAATTTTTGAAGAGTCTTTGATGATTAAATAAATTTGTAACTTTTATCTGAGAATGTAAATAAACACTTAAGTGACAGGTTTTAGCCTATCATAATCATAAACTATGAAGAAATTCTTATCTTTACGATAGATTTTATTCCGACAATCATACATTGATATATTCTCAGAAATTTACTGTAACTGAACAATAAATTCAAAGCTTTTAATTTACTTTATTAAGCCAGTAGTTGATTCTTTTTTTTTCTCTATTTAATAAAGCACTCAACTAATGTAAACAAAAAATTCTGTTTACATCCGCACAATTCAAGGAACTTGGGTAACTTCTAACATAAACATAGCATGATATTTTTCTATTATAAATAAGTTTTCCTAAAATAACACATTAAATAAAATTTAAGTCAACTTCAATGTAAAAATGATCTCTTATGCGTCTTTTCTTATTTTTATAATTAATAATCTGGCATTTCATTATCATATCGCTCCGCTTCAAATACTCAAATGTGATTGATGGTCTTGCACCACCTCATCAACATCGAAGCGTCGAAAGACTTCTGTACTTATCGGCTTTTTTATCTGATGGAAATACAACGTAAACAAAAATAAACTTTTGTTATTACAATTAAAAATGCAGTGTCAATATTTTTGGGAATAATTAAATTAATAAAAGTCAAAGTTTGGAGGAGAGAAAAAAATTTTTAATTGAAGAATTATTACGAAGAAGCAAATGTAAAATAAATTTTTCATCAGCCATTTATCAAAACTTGAGTTCCCGGTGATTTAATCATTCTAGAAAGACGTATTTTATCGATGGTGGCTTCTACGCCGAATTTTTCCTAAGAGTGGAATTTTTCTGGCCTAATCCATGACGATTATAAAAATATTTATCAAATTAGTCTATATTCTTAGTCTTTTCTTTTATCGTTTTCTTCTCCCACCATTACCCATAGGTCAACAATGGAGACCTTAAAAGCTGACGACGACCCGCTACCTTTTCATTTTTCACGGAAAGTCGACGAGTGAGTTATATAGTCACGATAAACTACCTAATAGTACGCTTAGTATTCAAACGTTAATTATTATTTTAACAAAATTAATTCCCTCTAAAAGGAATCAAAAATAAAATTAATATTTATTTTTTAAAATAACAAGTTGTGGAAAATGATGTTGTTTAATTATATTGTTCTGATCGTCATCAGCCTTGCCGTCGCTTACTTTGCTATTGGAGAATCCGCGACCATAAACTCAAAGGTAATTTATTTATTATAATAATAATTAATAATTTATTTTTAACAAATCTTTAGAATAATTTTATTAGAATTTATTTTTTATTTTTTACTTAGTTAAAAAATAATTCATTTTTTTTATTACTCAAAAAATTATTTAATTAATTAATTAATTTAAATAAAATTAATTAATTTTATAGAATGAATCTGTTAATGGAGTAGAATTAACAAATAAAACAAGTGAACAAAATGATTCCAGTGAATTGAGAATTTGCAGTTTTGATACACCATGCGGTTGGTATATTTACAAAAAAGATGAATTAAACGGATTTGAAAGAACCTTCAGTAGTTTTCTATTAAACACGTAACTTATAAATTATCATTAAAGTTTTAGAAAATTTTTATAAAATTATTTGTAACAAATCTAATTTTTGAAAACAGATGTAAATGCAAAGACGAGACGTATCGTTGCATAAGGATTTGGGAAAAACTTTCCGCTCAAGCATATGTTTACCACTGTCGTCAAAATTCAACAAAACTCGATAAATTAGCCCCAGATCACGATATATATTCTCGAAATGACGATCCATATGTATTGTTAGGCTTTACTGTAGATAACTAACTTTAAATACTTTGTTTTTATTTTATTTTCAAAATCTTATATTTAAGACCGATAGTAATTAATTAAATATCTAAGTTTTATTATAAGAATTGAAGTGTAAGAAATGTTTACATTATATTTTTAATAAATTGAGAGCTGTTGTTTACTCATTTATTATTTTTAATTTATCTTCGAAAAGTTTTCACATTTATAATAAATTCCAAGTATTTCAGTTCAAAATATATTTTAATTACAATCATCAAAGAACACGTGTATATTAATCATACACTAAGATAAGTAATCGATACCGGGATAATAAATAAACTTTTTTATAATATTAACTAATTTTATTTTTTAGCTGCTTTTTTGCAAAATAATAAATAAAGCATTAAAATTTTGCTTTTTTAGCATGAAATTTTTTAGCTACTGCTCCAAAAATTATTTTACTTATTAATTAATTGATGAATTTTTTTTTTTATGTATAATAGATCGCGCCAGTTCATGGAGTAGAACGTCAATTTTTTCCGAGAGACAAACGAGACCCAACATTGAGTTCAAGATCTTGTGGTAAAACGATGCCATGTGGGTGGTTAGTTTATCGTATGGCTGGAGGTCAAAAACAATTAACAAGCTTTTTATTGGGCAGGTAATAAATAAATTATCTTTTTACACTTCTTAATTATGATTAGTAGTTTATTAAATAGGTACACCCCCATAAAAAAAAAAAATATATTTTAAATGTATTTAAAATATATTTTTTATCTATTTCGATATATATTTTTTTTTTCATGGGGGCACAGAAAAAAAAATTTACTTGAATCAAGTAAATAATTCGGCTGCTCAATTTCAAAACACAGTACTGACAATTTTAAGATTTTTAAAAATTTTTCTTGTTAAAAAAAAATTTGCGCGCCTAATTGATAAAAAATTTGATTTATGAATAGAAAATACTTGTATATAAATATTTTTAAGGAAAAATACTTGAAATTAAGGTCTAAAAGTTATAAGAAATGCAGCAATACTTAAAAAAAAATTTGCTATAAAAATTTTGCAGTTACTGTGTTTTAAAATTGGACAGCCAAATTTTGAAGAATTTTATCTTAATTAATTAATTGATTAATTAATTAAAATTCTTGAGGAATTTTTCTTGGCTTAAGTAAATTTTACATGATTCAAGAATTTTTCTTCGAGATACTCTTCAAAATTTCTCTCTTGGTTCAAGAATTTTTATCTTGATTAAAGTTAAATTTTTTTCAGTGTAATAATGTCAAAGACCCAGTTATTGACACTAGCCTAGTTGTTTGACACTTTCAATTTTATTCTAATAAAAAAAGTAAAATCTTTTCAAAAAATCAATTATCTTAAAATTTATAATTCAAAATTTGTATTTATTAATTTATTAGAGTTAATTTGTTTTTTTTTTTTTAATTAGAATAAAATTGCAAGTGTCAATAACTGGGTCTTTTACTTTACTTATCTAAAAATTACTAAAACAATAATTTTTTATTAAAGTTGCAAATGTGACGACGGATTACGCTGCGTTCTTGAAAAAGAAAAAATGTCTACTCCAGCTTATCTTTACTATTGTTTAAATACAACTTCTACGGACCGATTGGCACCCGATCATGATATTTTGAAACCAGACGAGGAATTGTACAGCCTTTACAGCTACGTACCCTGAAAATCAATATTTAAGTACTGATTAAAGAATTGATTCGTTTAATTCAAAAGTAATAGCGCGTTTTATATGAAAAAAGAATTCAGTTTTTCTTAATTATAATTTTAGTCTAGAATATATTTTTGATTAAAAATGACAGATAATATTTTAATATGACTATTTCTTCTTAAAATAATGTTCAATTTTAAGTTAGAGAGCTAAAGACTGATTTTATAGTTTTACCAATATTAATTCAATAATTTTTTTGATACTATAGACTGATTTAATTTATTTTAAATCATAAGATTAAGAAAATGTAAATTAATTAAGTGTATTAGAAATAATATAAAATTTCGTAATCTTAATTGTATTTTGTTAGGAAGAAATAATTGTTTTGTTAAGAAGAAATAATTGCTTGGAATAATAATAATAAATTATATTAATTTTAAAGTATAGAAAAAATGTTTTGAAAAGAATCTTAATAAAAATTTGACTGAATTATATATGAGTTTATTTTTTTTTTTATATTTATTGTGTGATAATAATTACGAGTAATTATTGAGTCATTGATTAAACGGTAATTTTATCGCAAACATAAGAGGAGTAAGCGGGTCAAGAAAATGCAGAGTTTACACTCGTTTAGATGGCGGACGTTGGAGGAAAACTGAAAGAAAAGCAAAACAAGAATTTATTACAAATAAATAAACAATCTGACATTCCATAGATTACTTCATGGTCATATCTTTAATGCATGAAAAATTAATAACCTGTGTGGTAATTATTTTAATATTTTAAGCTTAGTATTTATATCAACTGTTCTGTTTAAAAATATATAATTAAATGTTAATTATAATGAAGATAGCGGAAGTAATTTATAAAAAAAAATTAGAAATTTATTTCTTTTTATAAGTTTAAAAATTTATTTTTATTTTTACTCAAAATTAATTTATATTTTTTTTTTTTAATAATTCAAGAAGAAATAAATAAATAATTTTTAAAAAATTGTAATTTTTCAAATTTTTTGTTTAATTTTTAAAAATTTGTCAGATCTGAGTAATTTTATTTAAAAAAAAAAATAAATTACAACTTTTTAAACTAAAAAAAAAAATTACAAATATTAAAATTAAAAATCAATGATGAAAATTAAGTTAGCCGAAATTAAAAAATTTTTATAATTTTTTTTTATTGAAAAAATCATTAAAAAAAAAAAAAAAAAAAATTGCACGTCTAAAAAACTTCAAAAACTGTAGGTGCAATTTTAAAAAAAATTTTTTTGTTCTAATTTGATTATTAAAAAAAAATCACAAAATTTATAACGTCGGCTAACTTTAATGACATAAATCAATGACATTTGATTGATATATCCGTAAAAAAACATGAATCAATATGTCATTGACATTTTACAGGCGCCAATTGTATTTACAATCAAAACAAAAAATTATCTTAAATAAATATATAAATATTGATATTGATTCTCAAAAATCAATTTTTTTTATCTAAACTATTTATTTTCCACTCACAAAAATTTTTCTTCAGCAAATAAAGTCAAAAGAAGAAAAGTAAATATTATTACCGCAAACTTAAACTATTTCAAATAATTAAAATCTATCCTAGATGTCAGCACCCACAAGCCCGCTTTTTTATCGACCGAAAGTCTGAAAGTTTACGTAATCACCAGCATCAGTTTTTATTGATCTTAAATATTCAAGGTCACTCGCGGAATCCCCGTAAGTAACATAAATCAAATTAAAAACTAAATAAAAATAAAAAATAAGAAGAAAACTATTATTTCTTCTTTATAAGTAGTAAAATTTTGTAATTTTTTTAGTAAATAAAAAACGAATTATATTAATCACGTCATTGCTTAATAATTTATATTTTCAGAGGTCACAAGTAGGTCGTCATTTTTTTCAGTCTACATCCAACGTTCGTGTCATTCGTCTCGATTGTCACGCGTTAGCACAAGGTATTTAATATTTATTATTCTAACATAAAATTTATATAATTATTAACAATTTTACTAATTATTTCAGCATTAATTATTAACCTGTCAAATTAATTACTTGTAATAATTATAAATCTTGAATTAAAACTTGTATTTTAGGATTTTAAATAATTTCCGCTAGTCAGTACAGTAAAAAATCGATTTTTTAACAGAGGAAATATATTATGTACGTATTACGTGCCGGGAGTGGTTTGCTCAGCAGATATTTAACATTAAGGTTTATAATTAGGATATTTTTATTTTATTCATTTTTATTTTTTATAATTAATTGAAAATTGTTTTTAATATTTGTAAAATTTAATTATCTTGTAAATTTATAAATTTAATTTGCATAGAAACTGTTATTTTTAGATGATGCAATGACCTTGGCAAGGTTAAAGTTGATAATTAGATAATTCAGCAGTTAGGTTTGATAAGAAAGTGTTTTTTAGTTATTGAATATTTATTAATTTAGTTAAATTACGCTAATTAAAAATGTGAAAAATTTTTTGTTAGATATATAAGTCTCATCGTACGATTGTAGTTATTGTTACGTCAGCTAATTGAATAATCACCACTGACATTGTTAATATTGAACTAGTTTTATTTAGTTTATTGTGACATGTTACAGATTTTCTACCTGTGAATTTAGTTGTTACACAATGCCGATCCAAAGTATTAAAGCACGTCAAATTTACGACTCTCGTGGTAACCCAACTGTCGAGGTAATTATTTTTTTTTTTTTTTATTATATTTTTAGTTTTAAATTGATTATTTAAATAATTTGAAATTTTTTTAACAAATAAATTATGACAAAAAAACTTAAGAAAAAAAGTTTTAGATAACGACATTCATAAAAATTATAAATAAAATTTTTTAAAAATAATATTCTCTGACTAATTTATTTTTTTGGAATAAAATCTAAAAATTATCGATTATTTTTATTGTTAAAAAATTACTAGTACCCATGCAGTCACTATGTGACTGTCATGACTTGTGAACTCTAAATAAATAAAATTTGGCTTTATTAAATAATAATTTTGTTAAATTGCATTGTACTTTCTTAACTATTGATATTTTTAAAGATATAAGCTCATCCTGATCTTGCACTCATCAAGAGCTTTCATTTGAGTACCCACATCAATTTTGATATATTTTTCATATATACATATATATATATATAATATATATAAATATATGAAAAATTGATGTGGGTACTCAAATGAAAGGTCTTGATAAGTATGATATGGGGGTGAGCTTATATCTTCAAAAATGTCAATAATTCACGAGATTTCTGTTAAATTGCATTGTACTTTCTTAACTATTGATATTTTTAAAGATATAAGCTCATCTCGATGTTACACTCCTCAAGAGCTTTCATTTGAGTACCCACATGTATTTTTTATATATTTTTCATATATATAATATATATAAATATATGAAAAATTGATGTGGGTACTCAAATGAAAGGTCTCAATGAGTGTTATGTCAGGGTAAACTTATACCTGTAAAAATTTAAATAGTTCACAAGATACAAGGTCATTTCTTAATTATTGACGTTTTTAATGATATAAGCTCATCCCGATGTTACAGTCATCAAGAGCTTTCATTTGAGTACCCACATGTATTTTTGATATATTTTTCATATATACATATATATAAATATATGAAAAATTGATGTGGGTACGCAAATGAAAGGTCTTGATGAGTGTAATATCGGAATGAGCTTATATCTTTAAAAATGTCAATAATTCACAAGATATCTGTTAAATTGCACTGTATTTTCTTAACTATTGTTACTTTTAAAGATATAAGCCCATTCCGATGTTACACTCATCAAGAGCTTTCATTTGAGTACCCACATCAATTTTGATATATTTTTCATATATACATATATATAAATATGTAAATATATGAAAAATTGATGTGGGTACTCAAATGAAAGGTCTTGATGAATGTAAATCGGGATGAGCTTATATCTTTAAAAATGTCAATAGTTGACAAGATACAAGGTCATTTCTTAATTATGTATCTAGTCATAGAGTATTTTCAAATGCAGCCTAAATACTTATCATCATAAATTGACTATTAAATTTATTTTCTATTAAATTATAAATTGACTAAAAAATGTAAATGCAATTTTTTTTTAATTATTTTTTACAATCAATTTATTTATTGATTAACAAATAAATCTAAAAATTTGAAAGTATATCTACTTACTAATTGTCATAAAATTGACTGACTTTAACATACCCCAGCAAGAATATTTAAAAATAATTAACGGGTTATTTTAGGTCGACTTGGTGACTGAAAACGGATTATTCAGAGCAGCTGTTCCATCTGGTGCTTCCACTGGAGTCCACGAAGCTCTTGAACTCCGTGACAATGACAAATCCAAGTACCATGGAAAATCAGTCTTCAAGGCTGTCGACAACATCAACTCAATTATTGCTCCTGAATTATTGAAAGTAAATATTATATTTATCAAAATTTGCCTTCATATTCAAAGCATAAGAAATAAATTTAAATCAATAATTAAATTCTAGGCTGGACTAGAAGTAACTCAGCAAACAGACATCGACAACTTCCTGTTGAAACTCGATGGAACCCCGAACAAGGCTAAGCTGGGTGCAAACGCTATTTTGGGTGTTTCCTTGGCTGTCTGCAAAGCTGGAGCTGCCAAGAAAGGCATTCCTCTTTACAAGTAAGTGATCTTACTCTAATTTCTTGATAAAATTTTTTTGTCGGAATGTTACATCACTTTCATGAAGGATTACGTCAGGGTTATTGATTAATTATTTTTGTCTTAGATACATCGCTGAGTTGGCTGGAAACAAGGACATCATCCTCCCAGTGCCAGCTTTCAATGTAATCAACGGAGGCTCTCACGCTGGTAACAAACTTGCCATGCAAGAATTCATGATTTTGCCCGTGGGTGCTGCTAACTTTACTGAAGCCATGAAAATGGGCAGTGAAGTCTACCATCACTTGAAAAATGGAATCAAGAAGAAGTTCGGGCTTGATGCTACTGCTGTTGGTGACGAGGGTGGCTTTGCACCTAACATTCTTGAGAACAAGGAAGCTCTTAACTTAATCATTGATGCTATCAAGGTACAATTTTATTTTATTTATTAAAAATTATTTTTTAAATTAAATTTATTTTTTTTTTTAATTTAATTTATAAAAAATTTATTTTTTATTTTTATTTTTCAATAATTAAACAATTAATTTTTATATGATTAGACTGCTGGATACGAAGGAAAGATCAAGATCGGTATGGATGTCGCAGCCTCTGAGTTCCACAAGAACGGAAAGTACGACTTGGACTTCAAGAACGAAAAATCAGACCCCGCTACTTATTTGGAGCCAGATGCGTTGAAAAACCTGTACTTGGATTGGGTCAAAGATTTCCCAATTGTGTCTATTGAAGATCCCTTTGACCAAGATGGTTGGGACTCCTGGACTTCAATCACTGCTTCCACTCCTATTCAAATTGTTGGTGACGATCTGACAGTAACTAACCCAGAAAGGTAATCTATCATTTTTTACTTTTTACTGAAAAACAAAAATTACTTAAAAAAAAAAAAAAAAACAAAAATTTCTTAGTACCGAGAAATTTTTAAGAATATTGTTTTTATTATTAATTATTAATTTTTTGAGAAAAAAAGTATCAAAATTTTTTTATTTGGTATTATACACGGAAAGAACAAGATGACACTGGATATCATCCCAGATTATAATGAGTATAATCCAGATATCACTGAACCTTAGAAACATTATTGTTTATATATATAACAATAAACTATTTAGGATATTTAAAAACAACTAATTAAAAAACACAAATAAAGGATTTAGCATGCTGACAACATGATTTTGATAAACTTAGGTGTCAATTAATAACAAACATAAAATGAATTTGTTTTTAAAACTATTAAAACAACATTTGACCCGGATACGAGTTAGTACGGCTGAAAAGTTACTAGGAGAGAAAAATTGATTTGATTATTGATGAAAAAAAATTTTCTTAACAAATTAGTAAAATATAAACTTTTAATAATTAATTAAGACTAAATTAGAATGAATTAGAGAAATTAAAAAATTATAGTCATTTTCCCATTTCGCATGGAATGCCCCAGTATTTTTTTCTTTACTTTAATAAAAATTGATGAATTAAAAATTTTACAGAATCAAGACAGCAATTGAGAAGAAAGCTTGCAACTGTCTTCTCTTGAAGGTCAACCAAATTGGCAGCGTTACTGAGTCAATAAACGCTCACAATTTGGCCAAGAGCGCCGGATGGGGTACAATGGTGTCTCATCGTTCCGGTGAGACTGAAGATACATTTATCGCTGACTTGGTTGTCGGTTTGTCAACTGGACAAATCAAAACTGGAGCACCTTGCCGTTCTGAGCGATTGGCCAAGTACAACCAAATCTTGCGTATCGAGGAGGAACTTGGTGCCAATGCCAAGTTTGCTGGGGAGAAATTCCGTCACCCAACTGCCTAGATACACTGCCCAGCTTATACGACGATTATCAACAGTTATATCGTTCAATGACTACTTTATCTTGAGTTACAATTCATATAGTGTTTAAAATTGAGACAAAAAAAACATTACCACAGATTATATTCCTTTCTGAGTACTGTGGAAGTTCAAGTCCGTTGACTAGAGTTTCATTATATGTTAGATGATAAATATTTATAACACACGTTGCTAGTAATGTTTATTCAATTATTAGTAATTTATCATTGAAGTTAAACTTTTTTTTTCTATTGTCTGATTTTTTTTAATGTTTAAAAAAAATCTGTACTCAACGCGTAATATTTTCTTGCTACCTTCAATTTTTAATTGAAAGACTAAAGAATATAATTGAAAGATATCAGTGTAAAATTGCTGTTGAAAAAAATAATAGTTTATAACAATGTATTGCTGTTGATCTGTAATCTTCCTCGGGAGTATTGTCGATGGAATCAATAATTAATAAAATTTAAATTTAAACACAATATTTGTTTTTTATTACTAAAATTATTTAATTTAATAATCTATATTGTTTTTTTTTTAAGGTTTCATCTCACCGATAGTCAACTTATGATGATGAAACTACCTTGTATCTTGTGAACTATTGACATTTTTAAAGATATAAGCTCATCCCGATGTTACACTTATTAAGACCTTTCATTTGAGTACCCACATCAATTTTTTATATATTTATATATATTATATATATGTATATATGAAAAATATATCAAAATGCATGTGGGTACTCAAATGAAAGCTCTTGATGAGTGTAACGTCGGGATGAGCTTATAACTTAAAAAATGTCAATAATTGAAAACTGACTTTGCTATCTTGTAAACTAATGATATTTTTAACGATATAAGCTCATCCCGATGTTACTCTCATCAAGAGCTTTCATTTGAGTACACACATGCATTTTTGATATATTTTTCATATATACAGATATATATATATAATATATAATACCAACATGCATTTTTGATATATTTTTCATCTATACATATATATAATATATATAAATATATGAAAAATAGATGTCGCTATTTAAATGAAAGGTCTTGATGAGTGTAATGTCGGGATGAGCTTATATCTTCAAAAATATCATTAGTTGACAAAATAGCAGTCAGTCCTGATTATTGACATTTTTTAAGTTATAAGCTCATCCCGATGTTGCACTCATCAAGAGCTTTCATTTGAGTACCCACATGCATTTTGATATATTTTTCATATATACATATATGTAATATATATAAATATATGAAAATTTGATGTGGGTACTCAAATGAAAGCTCTTGATGAGTGCAACATCGGGATGAGCTTATAACTTAAAAAATGTCAATAATCAGGACTGACTGCTATTTTGTCAACTAATGATATTTTTGAAGATATAAGCTCATCCCGACATTACACTCATCAAGACCTTTCATTTGAGTACCCACATCAAATTTTCATATATTTATATTTTATATAAGGTAAAAGACCCAGTTATTGACACTGGCCTAGTTATTGACTTTGATAAATTAATAAATAAAATTTTCGAATTATAAATTTCAAGATAATTGGTTTTTTGAGAACATTTTATTTTTTTAATTAGAGTAAAATTGCAAGTGTCAATCAACAAGGCCAGTGTCAATAACTGGGTCTTTTACCGTATCTATACTAATAAATGGAACCGGTTTTTTTGTCCGGTTATACTGCGAAAACTACTGAACCGATCGGAATAATACTAATACTATAAGATGCAGCGTGTTCAGGAGAAGGTTTTAGTATATGATATATTGGTGATTACTTATCCGGAACCTATATTTATTCGACTTATAAATAATGAATTTTTATTGCAACTAAATTTATGCTATTCGATTGTCATTTGTTAAAAATAATTTTTTTAGTTCTATCGGTTATGTTTATATATTAGGCAGATTTCTTCACTTATGAAACCTGCAATTTCTTTAACTGAAACTTTCAATGCTCATTACAAATTTTTTTTTTTCATATCAATTATTATTCATTTTTGTAAGATAGACACGAGAATGTAATAATGATTGCACATTGAAAGTTACAATTAATATTAGCTAGAATAATGACATGGATAAAAGTTGCATGCCAATTCGACAGAATTTGGAATCTGTGCAAGTCAAAACAATACTCTAATTAAATTTCAAGCCTAGATCTAAAAATGCAATTCTATAAAGCGCCCAGCGGAGCGGGCGAGTAACAGCTAGTATTACATATATATGTATACATGAAAAATATATCAAAATGTATGTGGGTACTCAAATGAAAGCTCTTGATGAGTGTAACATCAGGATGAGTTTATATAACGTCAATAGTTAAGAAAGTACAGTGCAATTTAACAAAAGTCATTATTTAATAAAACAAAATTTTATTTATTTATATTTCACAAGTTACGGCAGTCACACAGTGACTGCAAGGTTGCTAGTACCTATAAATTTTTTTCTTGAAGTTAATTAAAAAAAAAAAATAATTTTAATAAATATTCATTTTTAAACGCTTAAAAAAATGGGAAAGTTTGCCTGGTAATAAAAAAATTTATTTTCTATAATTCATAATAATAATATGTAAAATTATTTAATATCATCTCAGCGCTTTATATTAATGTAAGTATAAAAATATACATTTAATTATATTATATTTAATGGGTGCATTATAAACAGTGAGTTAACTTTAATTAAATTAATAAATGTGTATCACATTTTTTTATCCGTTAGAATAATTATTTATGCTTCTGAATTTTGGAGCCTCTCATTCTGACATTTCTTCTTTTTGACCCACAGGATACTTTCTCCCTAAAATTATTCAAATTTATAATTATAATAATTACTTGTGTTGAGTATTAAATTACTTACATTGAAGTAGTCCTCAATCTCCTGCAGCGAACGATTCCGAGTGTCGGGAAACGTCAGCCACATAAACGTCGTTAATATCATAGCTGATACTCCGAAGATGATAAAAACGCCGCCCATACCTACTGCTTCTTTAACCTGATTAACATAAATAAAAAAAACAATTACTTTTTTTTTTTCAGTTACTGCCAAAGAATCATGTCACGATTTTTTATTAAAAAGAAATAAAGAAGATATACCATGACTATGACTCGAATATTTTCACTCGATTAATTTTGTTTTATAAATGTCGAATAAAAAACTTACCAAGGGAAAAATTTTAGCTGTAATGAACAGTGAAAAATTGAACATAAACATCGAACAGCCGCCCCCGATACCGCGAGCTCGATGAGGTAGCAATTCGCTGATTATATTTCCAATTAGGGTGAATAATCCAATTGTGTTTAAACTGACGTACAGAAAAAGGCAGCTTCCTATTATGTATTTCTGAAAATAAAAAGAAAAATTATAAAATTTAAATAAAGAAAAAATAAAGGAGTTGTTTATTTGATAAATGTGATTGGTAGACTGAAATTTGAAAAAAAATAAATATTTTATGAAACGTTAGTGACTTATTATCAGCGCAGGTGAGGTGAGAGTCGGAATAATAAAGCAGATTGGATTTTTTTAGCGTGTTGAATTATTGATAAATTTAAAAATGCTCTCGGCGGTTTTTTCTTTTTTATTAGATTTTTCGGTAACAATTTCCGTGACTGAAATTATTCATTTAAAATTGTGTACTTTTAATCTTTTGATTTAATTATTAGTTGTTAAATTCTGCCACAAAAAGTGACTTACAAATGATCGAATTAATCTCCATCTTAACGCCTTTTGCAGTAGAAATTTATTAAATTATTCGCGACAAGTAAAATAAAAAAATAGAAAAATTTTTAGTCTAAAATAAAAATTATAATATCCATCCCCACAATTTTTCTGAAGAACAAGCACCCCCAGAATGAATGCTCTATTTTTTGTTACAAGGAAAAAATAATTTTATTATTATTTTTATTTTATAATAATTTTAATGAATTTTTCATACACTGATAGAAGGATTTGTTTATATTTTTTAACATCATAGAATTTAATAAATATTTATTACCAGTTAATAAATTATTTATTAAATACGATTTATTAAATGTTAATAAACATTTATTAATGGTTAATAAATATTTGTTAACTATTAATCTCTTTACCTAGTAATCTCTTTACAGAACAGACTAATTAATAAAATAAATACAACTAATAAACTTGTAACACCATTAAATATAAAGCAGGTTTTCATAGCCAATAGTATTACGTACTACTTCTCAGAATGTAAAAAGTTATTTGCGGAAAAATTGTCAAGCTAATATTACCTAAAATCAAAAAATCAATAAGCTCAAAAAATGCATACTATGTTGCAATCAAATACTATAATAAACTACCGTTGAATCTAAAAAATTTTAATGTTAAACCTAAATGTATTCGCAAGAAGATTAGTTTATGGATTCTTGAAAATTCGATTTAATCTATCTTAATTTATTTTATCTTTTTTTTTCTTTGTATGATATGTTAAAGCTTTGTATTGTGTTTTTATAAATTGTATTTTTATATATTGTATCACAAACTTAACTCAAATTATACTCCGTATATTCTGGTTCTATGCACAGGTGTCCTGCGACTCGATAGAACGTGCCGGAATTAAAACTAAATAAATAAAATAAAAAAATAAATAAATAAATAAATACTCATTAACTATTAATAAATGTACTTTTCTCCCAAATAAATATTTTTTGAATGTTAAAAAATATTTATTAAAATTTAATAAATTAAATAAGTGTGTCTTCAAATAAATTAAATTAAGGTAAAAGACCCCATTAGTGGCACCTTTAACCCATATTAGTGGCACTTTTTCTTTCAATGAAAAAATGTTCTTTTTGAAATAAAAATTAAAAATTTTTCCAATTTAAATGTCTTAAAGATTAGAAATAACATATTCATTATTGAAATTAATGATTTTATTAATTAAATAAGTACCAAAATCAAAGAAAGTGTCAGTAATGGGGTCTTTTACCCTATTAATAGTTAATAAATCCTTCTATCAGTGTAACTTTAAAATTTTTTCTGGGATTCACTTTGTTTAAATATTTAAATAATATTCTATCAACTTGAAAAATATAATTTTCAGTCTTCTTACTAAAGGATAAGTTTAATATCGATTAATCATATTTGTAGTATCTTATTTTAATTTCATTAAAAGTCCATTAAGTTTACGTAAGCTCTGACAGAAAAGGTTAAAAGTAAAATTAAAACCAAATTATAATTCAGTACATTCGGGTCAATTTAAATTAGCTATAAATAGTTTCGGTCAATTAAAAATTTTTTACAAAAAAAAACTTTTTTTTTTTTGGCTAGTTATTCAACTCGTTATTAGAATAAAAAAAAATATTTATAAAATTATAACTATTTTTGGATTAAAATAAACAGAGTGTCATTTGTAAAATTGAAAGCTAAAATTTCAATATTTCCCGACCAAGAGTCTTTTCATGTTCGCTCTCTATTCTTCAAAAGAATACCTTCAATTAGTAATGATAATAATAATACACAAACATCTCTTACATCTAAATAAGACTCCTCGGATTTCGCTAAAACAAACGCCGCGAGGACTAATGACGACAAAGCAGTTCCTGTTCCCGAAACAATGGCGATAGTTCTGCTGCCTATTTTTAACAGCAAGAAACAAGAGAGAAGGCAGAAGATGAATCTAATAACTGCAGTCACAAGAGCAGCCATGTATTTGTCGACGCTTCCTTTTCCTAGAATAACAGAAATGAATAATTCATGATCGATTGATTATAAATGTAAACTTTGCTATCGCTGTGACTGACCAATGTCTTGGATAAGGTCGACGCCGTAGTAAACAATGATGTACGTGCCGGAAAATGCCTGCAAGACTAGAAAAACATTAATGATTATCAACGGCTTGAGAACACCTGGATGAACAATCTTCGCCTTTGTTTCCGACAGTCGCTCTCTAAAGGACGCTGATACTGTCGATGAGGCACGCATGTCGTCTTGCTTTGTTCGCGATATCAGGTCAGACATTTCCGCTGCAATCTAAATTAAATTAGAATTAGAAATTATTGATATTTATTATGATAATGTAAAAAAGTGGGGTAAAAAAAGGGCAGGGCCGATTTTTTTTATTTAATTGAAAAAAAAAAATTGTCAAATTTTCTAAAATAAAAAATATTTTTTTTTTTTTTTTTTTCAATTAAATAAAAAAAATATAAAAAAAATCGGCCCTGTCTGGGATGAGCGGGAATAGTTGTCAAATTGATTGAAGTTTTTTTTGAGAAAAAAAAATAAAAAAAAAAGTGACCAACTTTGAAAAAATAAAGATTTTGCTCAAAAAAACCGATTATTTTATAGAATTGATCGTATTTAATTTTTTTTTGTGTATTTTTTCCAAAAGTTCATTCAAAAATAAAAATTTAAAAAAAAAAAAAACGTACCCAAAGGTCAAAGTCTAAAAAATTTATGGCTATTTGAAAATAAAAAAACCACTTTTTTGGGAAATTCATAATTTTTTTTGGGTTGGATGAAAAAATTTTCAAAAATGTCTTTCAAAGCGTAAAAAAAAATAGAAAAGTTTCAGCTAAATCTAAAGGGGTCGGGTTTAAAAGTGGTCGATTTGGCATGGAATACCCCATATATATTAATAATTTATGTATTGATATATGAAAAGAATTTAAAAAGTAATTAATTAAAACAAAATTTCAATAATTTTATTGGTAATAAATTATCTATTGATAATAAAAAGTTACTAAATTTTTTTTCCATCAATAATGGTAACTATTAATGTCTTGTATTGTAAATATTATAATATTGATAGTAATGACCACCATCATGGAAAAATTTGAAATTTTATAATCATTTGATGACAATCATTACCAAAAATTTTTCATCATTTTACAAAAGAAAATATTTTGCCACTAAAATGTATTTTTTACCGACGAAAAAAAAATAATTTGGCACATAAAATTTATTTTAATTAAATAAAAATTAATTTTAGCGTAAGAGCTCCGTACTTAGATATTTTCCGGATTAAATTCCAGATTCACTCTGAAATTGCTCAGCTAAAAAAAAAACTCCGGATTTTTTACAGTGTGTCAGAATACCGAAAATGTTTATGAATTTTTTGTTGACCCGCCCAGAAATAACTTATCTCATTCATCGTATCAGTTAAAGCCAATCATCAGTCATCGCGATGGTAATTTTTTATCAGAAGCAAAAAAAGAGCGTCTAGGATAGAGAATAAATGTACCATCGATCAATTGTTATTGACTTTTACTCGATATTTTCAATGTCTCTAATTATTTTTCCCTGTTTTTCAACAGTACACTTGACATTTAAGTTTTTGTGTGAACCCCACACGAACAGAGAGTAGAGTCAACAGTGATAAAGTCATCTAGAGTCTACAAAAGATATTAATATAGATATGAATAAAGTATGAAGAGTTACCTGTTTTGTGTCACCTCCGCGTAACCACATAAGAGCTTTTTTAGCAGCATTGATTTTACCCCGTCTAACCAACCAAACAGGGCTTTCGGATACTAAGCTCAGTGTTAATAAACTTATTCCGGGAAGAATTATCCCACTGAATGCAACTGTTTCCCATGTGAAAGCCGATCCCAGGGCGTAAACTAGTAGAATTCCGGCGCAATATGCGGCTATTGAAATTGAAACTAGGAATCCTCGGATACCTGGGTCTGCTGTTTCTCCAACTAATACCTAATTAGCCCGATCATTTTTATTGATTATTAATCATATTAAAATTTACACGGAAAAAAGTAAACTGTAATATTTACTCGGATTCCGGTTAATTTTTACAGTTTCAAACAGTAAAGCGGACATCAGGGTGGCAAAAATATAAATATTACAGAACTTAATGTAGAAAATATAAAAGCCACAATTTATAATTTAATATCCGAAATAAGTGATTAGTAGCTGTTACTATAGTAAATAACGACTCTTTCATCTTAAAAAATTACAGTTTCAAACAGTAAAAATTGCCATTTCATTATATAGTCGATATTATGAGGAGAAAGGGAACTCAGATGAAAGAGAAGGGGGTCTCACTCTGGGAGAATTTAACATTTCAAACAGTAAAAATTATACTTTTAAAATATACATTTTACCAGTTCAAGCAAGTCAATAATTATAGTTTGATTTTTAGCGTTACGTTTAAAATTTACCATTTTACTTTGTAAATATTGACGTTGCTTGTATTAGAAATTTACTAACTTTATTTTATACTTTTTACATATCATAAAATCATTTTTTAGGTACGAAATGATAAATATCAAAGTCTGAATTCTTAATTATTATACTTTAACATTTTAGATATTTACATAGCAAATATTACTGTTTGAAATAGTATTTTCTTCCATGTAAAAAGTAAATTGTAACGTTTAAAT